TCTGGCATCTAGATTTCCCGCACTTCTTCATACCCTTAGCTTTACCCGTATCTTTCTTTATTTTAGATCTTACTAAATTATCCGCTAAATTTCTAAAAGGCTTTTTATGTTTAAACACTTCTTTCATCTCATTCGAAGCATGCAGCACAGACCATAGAGAATTAACCTTATCACTTACTTCCGACTACGCTGGATGAAAATTCAAAACTAAAGGTACTACGTTTGAATCCACAACCTTTTCCTTATTTTGATACAAAAAGCCTTCCTATCCTTACTCTTAACCTTTTCACATTGCGACGATATTCGTGTTTTTTCAAAGCCTTTTTTGTGCAAATATATAACCTTTAAATTCCTCAATCCGTTGATCAAATTTACCTTCCGAACTATACAAATGCGTCTCAATCGAAGTACCTGCCCGAACAGAATAGCCTGTTTTACATGCTTCGGGTGACATGACCTAAAATCCAAATACTGATGTGTATCTGTAGGCTTTGAATACACATCAGTAGAAATCCCCCCCACCCTCCACACATTTGTGTTATTGTTCACTCGAATGGACATGATAGCACAAATCAGGTTAATGAAGCGGACCGAGAAGGGTGTCCCAAAAAAAACGAAAACTATTGAAATCACCAATAACAATTTAATTGTTAGAATTTGAATGCCTTAGCGCTCTGTTGGTTCCCACGAGTGCATAAATGATTGACATAAGTAAATTTTATGCATAAAGAACTGTTTAAGAAGCTGTTTTTAATTCCCAGGAGCAGAAAATCGCGCACTTTACCAGGAGATATTCCTAACTAAATTCTAATACATGCACCTTGTCAATATTTTACGCATCATTACGTCCAGCTGTTTGGTAGGGCATTCAAATTTAACAATAAGTGATTTCAATAGTTTTCGGGTTTTTTGGGACACCCTGTATAAAAAAAAACGCAACCTCGGAATTTCCCAAGAAATCGACATTGTTTTAAAGACAAAAGATTTTAGGCGCCTGGGAATTTAAAATAGCACAACTGTCAAAATTATTGCACACGCGAGTGCATAAAGCAAAATTTATGCATTTATTTAATCACGCCAACAGCAACATGATCTATTAGCAATTCGATTTCAATTCCCAGGGGCCTAAAATCTTTTATGCTTAAGAATTGCAAAATGATTTCTTAGGAAATTCCGAGGTTGCGTTTATTTTGATACACCCTGTACAGGGTGTCCCCAAAAAAGTACCCTCTATAGAAATTATCCTATTGTTATAATTTGAATGCCAGAGCACTATGCTGAACACAATTGCAAGAGTGCGTAAACACAATTGAATTGAATTTTTAATTTCTAGTCGCATAAAATCCTGTTCTTAACAACAATAGGATAAATTTCTATAGAGGGTACTTTTTTGGGGACACCCTGTATGTAATCAACGTCGAGGCTTTGTTAATGAGAATGTAGTGAATCTCTCTAATCGAGATTTAACAGTTTAAGAGATTAAATGCTGTATATCTAGAGGTTTGAATTTTTGCCCTACGCCTAATCATAGCCTATCGAAGGGAAGCTGTGAAACTCATTAGAATAACAATATAACTCATTAGCTATGTTAGTCAACGTTTATTCATAAATCTGGTCGTTTCACCGTCACGTGTGTATTGTATTTTTACAAAATCCACCAATAGCAATTTCCAGTTTCTCTATTGTTCGAGTCACGGATAGGCGACTTTCCTTTAACATTGCAATTGGTTAGTTGGGCAAGAATACAATACATGCACACGTGACGGTGAACGACCAGATTTATGAATAAACGTTGACTAACATAGATAATAAGTTATATTGTTATTCTAATGAGTTTCACATCCATCTCCTCTTCGATAGGCTATGGCCTAATAATATTGATAAATTTCAATTGAGAAAGGATATAGATGAATTTGGACGGCGTATCAAGTTAACACATTTTTTTGATAAAGCTATAGGAATCGAATGTGAATGATAAGAATAGGGGATTTAAAGACAAGTCGAAATGGGTACCAGAAGTTAATGATCCCATGTTGGAGTTATTCTCCATCAATGAAAGCGGTTGTAATTATTCTAATTTAAGTTATACTGAGAGAAGAGCGCTTATAGTGATTTAAAGGAGTATTCTGATATTGTTATTAAAAAGGCCGATAAAGGTTCAGCGGTTGTAGTTTGTGGTTTAGAAGAATATCGTACATTCTCGTACCCAGAGCCCTTCTTGCGCGCAGTGCGACGAGGAGCTCTGGCCAAATCCATATTTCGAACTGGCATCTGATTGGCTAATTATAACACAGGATACTAGGATATACACAGGATATACACAGATACATTTCTTACCATGTTTTTACGGTATCCGGTTATGGATTTGGCCAGAGCCCCTCGTCGCACCGCGCGTAAGAAGGGCTCTGGGTACGAGAATGAATATCGTAAGGAAGCGTATCGTCAATTAAAAGATGACGATCCAGGGAAATCTGAAAGGGGAGAGTTTAAATTTGGGAAGGTTTTATTTGCTTCCCATAATTCATAAAAATTTCGTCGATGTACCGGATAGGCCTGCTGCATGATGTGTCAAATTGTGGGACGCCAACGGAGAGGATTTCTGAATTTGTGGATTCATGTTTTAAGTGATGCTTCGAATTTTCTTAGGAGATTGGATGAGTTAGAGCATATACCTGAGGCCGGTGAGGGAGATATTTTTGGTACAATAGATGTAGTTGGACTCTATCCACATATACCTCACAAAGACGGCTTGGATAGCATGAAAAACGTTTTGAGCGAATTTAAGGAGAAGGTCAATGTTATTGAGTGGTATGTGGATGGGGTTGATCTGATTGAATTGGCTACTTTGATTTTGGAAAATAATTATTTCAAGATTGACGGATAGATATATTGGCAAAAGCAGGGAACAGCTATTGGGACTAAATTTGACCTAGCCTATGTATAGGTTATTTTGAGGCAACGAGGGGATATGTGATTTATTCACCGAGGCGCGCAGCGCCGAGGTGAATAAACACATATCCCCGAGGTGCCTCAAAATAACGTACTTATTTTTCACACTGCGAGGTCACGTTAATGAGTCAGAAAAGAAATAATTCTTAACGCCATTTTGCCTTCGCAATGTTGTTTTTTCTCATTTTTTGTGCTGCAAAGACATTGCAGGTGAATATTAGAGGGGATTATTAATTGCAGGTGAATATTAGAGGGATTATTGAACGGAAATTGATTAGAGGAGAATATTGAATATATTCCCCGACAAGAACAAAGGAAACCGAGCAGGCTGAAAAATAAGCCAGTATATTTATGTATGTAGTTTGGAGGCAAGGATAAAAGAATGCGAATTTAAACCATGGGTATGGTGGAGGTTTTTGGATAATATATTTTTTATTTGGTTGCATGGCATCGAAAGGTTGCAAGAGTTTTTGAAGTTTATAAATTCTTTTCACAAAACATTAAATAAATTATACTTGGGATTACTCTGCAAATCAGGTGTCATTTCTTGATGTTAAAATCGATCTGTAATAGGAGGTAGGAGGGGGGATTTCTACTGATGTGTATTCAAAGCCTACGGATACACATCATATGCATGCAGTATTTGGATTTTAGGTCATGTCACCCGAAGCATGTAAAACAGGCTATTCCGTACGGGCAGGCACTTCGATTGAGACTGTAGTTCGGAAGGTAAATTTGATCAACGGATTGGGGAATTTAAAAGTTATTTGCACAAAAACGGCTTTGAAAAACACGAATATCGTCGCAATGCGAAAAGGTTAAGAGTAAGGATAGGAAGGCTTTGTTGTATCAAAATAAGGAAAAGGTTGTGGATTCAAACGCAGTACCTTTAGTTTTGAATATTCATCCAGCGTTGTAGGAAGTAAGTGATAAGTTTACTTCTCTATGGTATGTAATGCATGCTTCGGATGAGATGAAAGAAGTGTTTATACGACGTTTTTACGTATTTTACATATGATATGGCATATCATGTTGCGCCCATTTATATTCTTTTAATATCGACATACGTTATTAATTTTAAAACGCGTGCATGCTGCCCGTATCTCTTTGTGGTAATTTGGCAAACAATGGACGCACTAGATATCTTCAAAAGTTAAAATTATAAAATTTCCAACTGATCACTGCATGGGAGTATCGAATGGCACAAGAAACCAAGGGTTCCTGGAAATTTTGAATTTTAGGATTCTAGAACAGCATTCATTTTCAATTCCTACAAGTTCCGGAGGTCATTGGGTGGAGGGGAGGAGGACAGAGTTGCCCTGCTCATGCACACCTCGTCACTTGGATATGAACGCACAGAATCTCTAACTGGCATTTTCTTTTTTCATTCATCAAATTGTCGAAAATTGCCATATTACGATTATATTAATTCAGCCATCAACAGCAGGCAAACTCTCGCTTGATATTTTTAATTCATTCGACGTCTGGGGGCGTTTATTGATTTAAGGAATTATGTTGTATCCGACAGTTATATTAAAATGTAACAAATTAGTGAAGCAATAAAGATTCATTACACTTCTTTTTGCTAAAAGCCATCACTTTAATTAAGCCGATTCTTATGAAATTTAAACAGCCAAGTATGAAATGTTATTTCTCGCGAAAGGATTCGGGACAAGGACACATTCTTTCTTGCATATACACGTAGTACAATAGATGCATTGAATTGTTGTGTTATAATTGTGTGGAGAAAGAACACATCTTATATTTCTTATTTTGTTTTAGTATTCTATGATTGATATGATATTTACAATGACAACTCGGGCAATTAAATGTCAAGACAATCAGCTATGATAACACATTTTTTACCGCGCAGTTTTATCAAAGATCTCGCCAAGCAACAAGCGTCGGAGTCTGACTCTTTGGGCAAGACAGCCTATATATAACTTTTTGGCTGTTACCAAAATAGTTACGTATCTTTTATGAAACTGTGTTTATGAAGATAAATAATAGCAGCTTCGTGCAGACAGGAACTTCCTCCGGCTTTGACCACTTCGCCGGTAATAGGGAATTGTACAAAATTTTATTCGCTCTCCTTGATAGCGTTGGAATAAGCGGTAATCTTATAGTCATTCTTACTATTCTTCTGAATGGAAGCATGCGTTCTGGTGTCTACTTCATGCTTTGTAATCTCGCTGTGTCAGATCTTCTCTTTGCGATCCTGGTGTCATTCCATATCAACATGCTGACGGAAAACTACAACTGGCAGTTTGGGGCAACATTTTGCAAGATATACTTTTTCTCCTATCGTTTGTTGTACTCCGTTTCCATGTTGAATCTCATTATGATCACTGTGCAGCGTTATCGTGCGACCCGATACCCATTTGCCTTCCGTTTTAGAGCAAGAAGAACCAGTACACTTATAATAACATGTTGGGTACTTGCAGCGATTATTTCTTCACCCTTCCTTTTCGTTATGAAACACACAAACCTTGGCGGAGAAAATTACCGTTGTTTTCAAGAATGGCCAAACAAAGAAACCCAGCACGCGTATTATATCTGTATATTGACCATTTTGTACATTCTGCCTTTTCTTGTCATGGCGATGCTGTACGGAATCATGTTTGTGACACTTCGTAGACCTCACGTTGGCAGTGTCAATGAAACACAACAAAGGCAATTAAGGAAACGGAAAAAATTATCTCTGATCATTGGAATTATAGTGCTGATGTTTTTTACTTGCTGGACGCCGTGGAATGTTTTGGAATTTATTCGAGTAATGGATTTAATGTTTGGGGATCCAACTCGACTTGCAACAGCCTTTAATTATTCCTTGTTGGCTGTGGTATTAAACACTGCTGTTAATCCAATCTTATTGAATTTTATGTCTTCAGAATTTCGCGACGGTTTCAAAGGACTGTTTCGTCCTTGTTCTTGCCAAAATTCAGGAACAGTCGGTGCTAACACTGCTGGCAGTGCTGCTACTGTTGGTAATCCAGAAATAGAGCTGGCCAGATCCAGCCCAAGTGCACAACTGAATAGGATTGTTGTCGAAAATACGAGTTATTCATGAGAAATGTGCACAAGATACATTTAAAAATATAATACGTTATACTATTTCAAAGCCAATAGTGGGACGGGAGTGATCTAAGTTGTGTTTTTCCTTCAGGACTTGCAAAGGAAATTATAGATATCTGAAATAATGTTTTTGAGTCATGTCCAAACTTATATCGAAAATTAAAACATGACTTTAATTTGAACATTTTAAAGTTTTGAACATTAGTCATTAGTTAGTACCAAGGTTTAGAAATTATTTTCAAGAGTAATAATGCGGTAACTAATGCATTATCCTTTATATAGCCTGTACTCCACACCTATCCTAATTAGAGCATTGGCCAGGACTATATATAAACATTATTATTATATATCAATAATCAAAGTCGCATTTTTCTAGTGTTTTATTGGTTGAGAGCATATCACGTGAGAGTGACGAAATTAGGCTGTCTCCCTCGCAACAGCGCGAGAGGGAGATAATACGTTATCGACCGGCG